AGATGTTCTGATTGATCTGATAGATATTACCTGACTCAGGTTGAGAGGCTGAGACCTGCTGGATGCAGCTCTGTGAGGACGATCAGCGGTGGAGTCTCCTGACCAACCTGACGATTGAACAGACACCTTCTTCAGCTTTCCAGAGCTGCTTACAGCTTCATCTGACAGAGCAGAAGAAGAGGGCGTTTAGTGAGGAACACATCAGTGTTACACTGTAATGATCACTCTCAGTTTGTCCACCTGAAGAATCATTACAGGTTCTGAACAAATCAGTTTTGTTCTCAGACAATCAACATTGATTTGATGCTGATGACAGGTGTGTGAGGTCACTCRTGTGTCATATGTACACGTGACACAAACAGAGGAAACGTTACAGTTTCTATTAGACTGAGGTGGTTTGGATCATGTTTGAAGTGTGTTACATGTTCTGWTGTTTATGTTAAATGTGGTCCAGTTTTATTGTTCAGCTTTGAACCATAAATGTTCAAACTAAACTGAAACCCCTGAGTTCAGAAAACTAAGTGAAGTCCTATTTAGGTGAGTTTCAGTATTTTTTATTCTCGTACTCTTGACTGAAACAGTGTGTGTAAGACCACCCTCAGGTGAAGAGTTTGTGTAGTGTTACACATGGAACCTGACCCACTCAACCTGTCTGTGTCGTACCTGTGGCTGCTGCAGTCTTGTTGGCAGCGCCCTCTGCAGGCTGAAGCTTCACAGAGGGCACGATGACAGCTCGAGTCTTGGTGGGATGTGAGGTGGTCCGGGGGCTCAAGGGGCTGCTGGTGGAGGAGTCCGAGTCATGAGAGTCGTGAACCGTCACACAGCTGATGACGTTGGGTCTCTGACTGGTTCCAGAGCTGCAGGAGGAAACCAGAGAAGTCAGGTCTTTACCAACTTGTGATGTGGGACCACTCTAACCATTTGTGACAACAGATCACGTTTGGTTGTCTAGTTGTGAGTTCTTTGTGATGTGTAGCAACTTCAATCCCTTTTGGTTGTGGCTGTTGTCCTCCATTTTGTGTTGTTCACATTACTACAGTTTTTCTCCATTGTTTACACACATTTTCATGTTCTCAGAACTCTACACACAAATCTAAAATCACACACAATGGGCAAAACGCCTCATCTCTACTGCAAAATGAAACTTTACAGTCAAAACAATGTAACTGATTTTCAAAAGGATGTTTTGTATCAGATGAAACACTCAAACCATCAGATGAAGACATTTATAAGAACCAGTTGAACACTGATGAGCTCGGTGTAAAACACTGTGTCCTTTCTGCCTTCTTAATGATTAGCTGTGTTTCTATTGACCATGAAAATGCGCAAATTAGAATTTTGAAAATAAATTTGCTCAATGGAAACACGTCAGTTTAGAAAAAAATCAAGTTTTTCGACAAAATGTTTTTGCGCTAGGATGAGGTGGTTTTTCGGCCGTATCAAAATTGGTGTTTTTCGCAAAACTGCAATGGAAACCCTTTTTTCATATCACGGGAGTCACGTGATCAACAACCGGCTGTTTCTACTGGTGAAAAAGACGATGACGAAGAAGATAACAGGAAGTAGAAGTAGTAGTTTTTTGTTTTTTTTTTTATTGAAAGCTTTATACAAACCACAAGGCAGTATAACAAATACGTATTCGAATACAAAATAAAGAGGCATAGGTGCAGAAC